AAAGCAATTTTGCATCCCCCCCCCATGGCCGATCCGGGCGGCATAAGCATTTTCCAGGGCTCTGGAGCCCGGATCAAGCTACTGGCGCACCCCAAAATCACCCCGCAGCCATGGATGCAAGTCCAGAGGCTTGGAAAATGCTTCTGCCACCCGGATTGGCATGAGTTGAAATTAAAAGATAGTTTTAAAGATAAAGTACAGGTACTCCTCACTCCCCTTTAATATATCTCTTCCCCCACCCCCTTCAATATCATCTATTCCCCCGCCAATATCTCTTCCCCTACCCCCTTCAATATCATCTATTCCCCCACCAATATCTCTTCCCCACCCCTTCAATATCATCTATTCCCCCAATATCTCTTCCCCCACACCTTCAATATCATCTATTCCCCCACCAATATCTCTTCCCCACCCCCTTCAATATCATCTCTTCCCCCAATATCTCTTCCCCCACCCCTTCAATATCATCTATTCCCCCACCAATCTCTTCCCCACCCCCTTCAATATCATCTCTTCCCCCACCAATATTTCTTCCCCCATCCCGTTCAATATCATCTCTTGCTCCATCACTGGAGGCTTTTAAGTAGCGATTGGATATTCCCTTGTCTGGAATGGCATACGTCCCCTGCTTGAGCAGGGACTTGGACTAAAGACCTCAAAGGTCTCTTCCAACACTCTTTGAGAGAAGCGCTGCCAATGTCTCCCCCTCCCCTCGTCCCTTCCTGGGCACAGAGAGAGGGAAGGAAGGAAGAGAGGGAGGGAGGGAGGGAGGGAGGGAGGGAGGGAGGAAGAAAGGAAGGGAAAGAGGGGAGGGGAGGGAAAGAGGAAGAAAGGGAAAGAAAGAAGATGAGAATGAAAAGGAGGGAGTCAGGGAAGGAAGGAAGGAAGGAAGGAAGGAAGGAAGGAAGGAAGGAAGGAAGGAAGGAAGGAAGGAAGGAAGGAAGGAAGGAGATTGGAATACGAAGGAGGGAGGGTCTGAGGGAAGTCCTGCCTTAGCACTTGGCCACCAGCAACCCTGTTGCCCTTTTGCCATCCCCTGGTGGTTTCCCATCCTATTGCTGAGGATGCTTTGGTTACAAAACCAGGTCTTCTTTGCATGGAGAGGGAGTGGGCCTCCCTCTGACCCACACACTTTGCCCTCCTGCACCCACCATGAGCAACCTGGCCAAGGAGAGTGAGCACAGAAGCAGTAGCCTTGAGGAGGAGATAAATGGAGCTGGGCACCCCCTCGGGGAAGTGCGGCTAGGGTAGACAGGGCTGTGGGGTCCTGGTGCCGTGGTAGCTCAAGGGCCGGGCTGGGCATTTTACCTCTGCTGCCCATGGCTCCAGGCAGTCCGTACCACCGTCCAGGGCCCCCTTGCATGGCCTGAGGCTCAGTGAGGCTCCTCCAGTGGACCATGCCCCAGCGCTCGCCCTGGTCCCACCCCCCTCCACCAGAGATCCTCAGATCCGCCCCAGTCCTGCCCAGGCCTGCACAAGTGCCCCTGACGTGAGTGATGTTGAGCTGGCCACACTCACCCAGTAGGCCACGCCCATGCCAGCCACGCCCACCCAGTGTGCCATGCTCATCCGGCACCCGACGATAAATAAGTGGGGTTTGGGTTGCAGTTTGGGCACTCAGTCTCTAAAAGGTTCGCCATCACTGCCCTAAGTAGTCAGGACACCGCCATTTTAGTGGGGGGGAAAGACGTCCCCTTCCCTCTCTCCTCAGAGGGGGAAGAAATTTCAAGAGGCTTTTTACAGGAAAATATTTGGGATACAAAGAAGGCAGGATCTCACCCAATTCTTCCGTGGTGCTTTCAAAAGTGCTTGTTAGTGATTTTGGCCTCGGCTGGTAGCGGCTTAGTGATGGGCAATGTTAATGGCCGATCTTTTCCCCATCGGTCCGAAGAGCTGCCCGGGATCAATCGGGAGGGCTGCCGCCCTTCCGCGATCACTTGGAGGTCCTCTTCATGTTCGCCGCCCCTCCAGGATGTCTTTTGACCCTTTTCAGAGTCCCCCGGCGGGAGAGAACTGGATGGCGGAGAGCGATTGCCTCGCATGTCCGTCAGTGCCGCAATCGCAAACCGGAAGCTGGTCTTTTCAACTTTTTGAATGCATTCCATAGTCCACTTTAGTGGCTGGCTAGGTTTCGGCTTATCTATTCCCTTGGTTTTTAATAAGTTCATAATGGGATGTACAACCTGCGCAGAGGAGGGAATGAACTACCTATAGAAATTGGCGAAGCTCAAGAAGCTTTGCAATTGGTTCCTGGTGCGTGGGGGCTCCCATTCTAAAATGGCTCACACTTTCTCTGGGTCCATTTGCACCCCCTCATTCGAGATCCAGTAGCCTAGATAGTCAATCTTTTCATTGTGGAATTCACACTTCGAACGTTTGGCATTTAGCTTGGTAGTGTGGTTTGTTTAGGACCACTCTGACCAATTTTACATGTTCCGCTTTAGTTTTGGTGTAAATATATTGTCCAGGTACACTAAAACTCCTTTATACAGGTGCTCATGTAGCACTTCATTTATCAGTTGCATAAACACTGCAGGGGCTCCTTGTAATCCAAATAGGAGCACTTTAAATTGGAAGCAACCCAGGGGGCAGTTAAAAGCAGTTTTCCATTGTCACCCTCTTTAATTCTGACCCGGTAATAAGCCTCCCATAAGTCCGGTTTGGAAAACACCTTCCCCTTAGAGACGTGGGCCAGCATGTCCTTCATGAGGGGCAAGGGGTACACATTTTCTACGCACACCACATTCAGACCTCTGTAGTCAATGCAGAGATGAAGAGACCCATCTTTCTTCTCCCAGAAAAGCACCGGGGCTGCCACCCTGGGTCTGGCCGGCTGGATGAAACACCGAGCCAAACTTTTATCTATGAACTGGCAGTTTGTTTAATTTCTGGGGGGGGGGGTCATGGAGTAAAGTTTAGGCTTTGGTAGTTTGGTTCCGGGGACAATCTCAATGACATAGTCTGTGGGTAGGTGAGGAAGGAGTTCATCTGAGCCCTTCTCGCTGAACACTTCAGCCAAATCGTGGCATTCTCTGGGTATGCCTCTCAGACACTTGCTCTTTGCAGCAGCCACCATTTCTCAGTTTGGCTTCCTTTTGGGACTGTTGCAGTTGTTAGGCAGGGTTTTCTGTTCCTTTGGGAATCTTAAGCACCCCTCTCACCAGTCCACCCACAGGTTCCATTCTTTCAGCCAAGCCAACCCTAGGACAGGGGGTCATTCCATGCCAGGTGCCACTATAAAGGTTAAAGTCTCAGAGTGGCTCCCCATGGTTAAGCCCAGAGGTTCAGTAGCAAAGGTGGCTGGGATGCCTCCTGCGGTGGACCTACCTAGTTGGCAGAATGCAGTTGGGTTCTTTAGTCTCCTAAGATGGAATCCCAGTCTTCCACTAGGGTGGGGCTTATTAAGCATCTGATGTACCTCACATCTAGTAGGGCCTTTAGGGCCACTTTCTTCCCTATGCCTAGGATTAACAGTTCTATGGGCATGGTTAATGGCGTAATCAGCCCACTTACCAGGGGGGTCGTCATCATAGTTGATGTCGGACATCCCTGGTTCTTTCTCTGATGGAGTCAGAATTCCCCCCTCCCTGTTTTGGGGAGGGATGGAACTGTACAACCTCAGCGCTCTTTAGGGCCATGTTTTGGGGGCATTGGAAAGGCTTGGTTTTCCCCGATCATCGGTCTTTCTTCGCAGGGATTTTCATGCAGCATTCCACAGCCCGATGGCCTTTCTTACCACATTTGAAGCAGGCGGTTGAGCACAGTGGTGCTGCCAAGGGTCTTACTGCCTTCCTTTTCCTCTGTGGTGGGTAATCACTTCCACACTCTGAGCAGTACTGGTTCTGTGTCTGGTCAATTTCCGCTTCTTTGACCAAGTTGCACCAGTCGAAGAGGCTGGCAGGGGCTTCTTGGGCAATGCAGGCATGGTATAAGTTGTTGTTAAGCAATTCACCAGGATGTCTTCCAAACATCCAATTAGTTGAGGCGGCAAGCCAGGTCCCGAAATTCTTCAGTGTACTTGGCTACCGAGCGGCAGTCTTGCCTCACCATCTTAATGCGGTCTCGTGCCTTCCGATCGGCCAGGGAGTGTTCGAAATGGCACCCCAATGCTGTCATGAAGCAGTTGCAGAGCTCTGGTACATCAGTGTTATGAAGGGTCACCATCCATCTGGCCACAGCACCTTCCAAGTCTAAAGTGATGAGCCTAACCCTGGCTCCTTCGCTGGGGAGGTCTCGCCCGTATTCTTGCATGCACACGAGAACATGGGTGAGGAAAAGCCACAACTGCTGAGGGTCCACATCAAACTTAACATCCAGGGTGGATGCCTTTCGCTCCAGTCGCTGGGCTCCCCTTCCACCAGTTCTCTGGGCATTTACCCCGATTGGGATGACCTGAGGTAGGGTAGCCAGGGTGGTCATCGCACCTTCTGCAAAAGCAATGGTGCCCACTGATGTCTCTGGGGTAGGGGACTCGCTCCCCCCACATGCCAGTTTTTCTGCCTGTTCCTTGTTCTTTTCCCCACAGCCACTGGCTTCTTGCGCCTTCAGGTTCTGGAAGGCTTCCATCATGAAATGTATGGCTCGCTTCATGAGCCAGTCGGCTTAGCTTGACTCTTCCCCTAGCTCATCGTCATAGTAGTGTAGTTCTATCTCGCGCTTCCAGCCCAGCTTCCTGCTACCAGAGGTGAACCTCTGGGTCTTCCTTTCCCAGTCCTTTTTCCCCATGCCAACAGACCATCTTTGTTTTGGGGGTTCTTCCATGGTGGCAGCTTCGTCCATCCACTCATAGGGGTGAGCCTTCATGGAGGTTTTTGTCCAGGACTTAGCCTCCTCCTGCTCACTGCCATGGTGGGACATCGTGTGCATGGTAGGGTGCAATCCCTCCGGGTTGACCACTTTGCAGATCTTGCCTAATGTAAGGTCCTGCCTCAGCTAGTGCTCTCAAAAAAACAGAACTCATGAAACTGGCATTGTTTCAAAAGAAACTTTTATTGATAGTGAAAGCAGAAAGGCAAGGCAAGATCTGAATATTTTCCATGCAAAACGTTACATGAAACCCCTCTCTTCAGAACCCCTCCCAAGTGCCCAAGTGTCTAGTCCATTTCCAGCCAATCCACAGGTGCAAAGTTTTTATGGGAACTGGAAGATGAAAGAATGATAAAGTACTGTTCCCAAGCATTGCATCTTCTTCCCAGCAGAGCAGAGATAAGGCAGATGGCCCTAGGCACATTCCTTTCCCCTTTCACAGCCAAAGAGATACATCAAAATGTATAAGACCAAAGCAAAAGAATCACATGCCAGGACCCACACATTCCCCCCTCCCAACAGAATGCCAGCTTCCCGATAAAGAATCTGAGGGGTCTGAAAGACTGCCTCATAGCTCCCAAGCTAAGGTAATACAGTTGGTAAATAAAGGTCCCAACATCTTGGTGAAGTGTTTTCCCCATTAAGTTATTCAGAGACTTGCTGGCCTCATCACCTACCAATGACCTTCTGGTTTACAGGGTTGCTCTGGAAATAATCATTTTTTAAAATGCTTCGTGCTTTGTCAGGATTTCAGGCCTCAGTTGGTTCCAGTCAAAGCAGAGTCTGACATATGCATAGGAATGCAGACATTTCAGATATGTTTTAACTGGTGAAATAATTTGATTTGTATTTTAAGATAGTTGCATTAAATCCTTTTCTGTATATTGCTTAAGTATGCAGGGAGAGGTAAATAGCTTATCACAAAGAAATAGGATTTGGATGACCAAGACTTTTGGAAAACAGCCAATTATCTCTCCTTACTTGCATTCTCAAATTAAGGATTTTTTTTTCTATTTTGCCTTCAGCATCACTTATACAGAAAATTGTCTAAAATCATATTTGAAAAACATGTTTGTGTTGAACAAAAAATGTTGAAACAGTTGAACACATTTTATCATATATCATCTATAGGGATATTCACAATGCTTATATACTGCCTTTTATATCAATATCCTTGTGCAGTCTTACAACATTTGTTTATTCATTAAATAAATTTATTTAATATAAATACTTATATGTCCATCATTTTGCAGATTGTAAATCATTAAAAAGAGTTTATCCAATATGAAGATAAATTTTCAAGGAGCATTTGAGGAAAAGCAACAAATAACAATAGCACTTAAGACGTATATACTGCCCCATAGTGCTTTACGGCACTCTCTGGGCAGTTTACAATGTCAGTGTATCGCACCCAGCAATCCAGATCCTCATTTTACCACCCTCAGAAGGATGGAAGGCTGAGTCAATCTTGAGCCTCATCAGGATCTAATTCCAGGCTGTGGGCAGAGTTAACCTGCAATATTGCATTCTAACCACTGCACCACTAGGGCTCATAAAAGACCATGAAAGACTACTTACACTTTCTCCTATTAAGCACATTTATTAAGTACACATTCTATATGGAGATAACAACATTTTGGCTATTTCACTGTTTTAAAGCTCAACTTTAAAAAGTTATATATGTGGAGTATTCATTAAGTTGTTTGTGCATGGGTAGACCCAACTGATTCTTACAGCTGCCCCGGGGAGGTAAAAGTAGAAATTGCTGGATCAAGAATGAAGAACTGCATTTCTTCTAAGGTGAGATAGTTGTTATCTATCTCAGTGAGCTTCAGGTAGATAAAAACCATTTCACATCTGATTTTTCTAGAAACACATCAGGAGACCCAGCAGTTTTCTGAAAGTGAATCTTTTACATTCCAAGAATTTTTTGTTCAGATTTACTTCTGAAAAACTGCCAGATCATCTTCAGAATGACACCATTTAGACATAACATTTTGGGGCCAAAATCTAAACATTCTATACCTGTCAAATGCTTTCAACACCAAGGAGTTGTAAGTCAATCTGCAACCCATGTGTGTATATGACATCATCTCTTCCTGTTGGTTACTAAGAAAATCATCATTTTTCCTCCAGATGCACAAATCAAACATATCAAATGTTAAACCTTTTGCCCTGGGTCAGGAGTTGTAGGGAATTTGTAGACTTTGAAACCCTTAGCTACAACTTAGCAACATCACTGGTATGGGTTGAAGAATTCATCTGAAGGATTACTCTCCTGAAAAAAAAATAAGGTCAACAGCTTTCTTTGTGGACATGGTAGCAGGAATACGCCAGATATACCAGCCCTGAGAATTGGCACTCTGCACTGACAATTTTTGTTGCTTTTAAGGCAAATGACAGCAACAATACTGTCCATGTTAAATGGACTCTTCTTTCTGCATTTGTAAAGAAAATTCAGAAAGTATTCAGGAATGAAGAATTAAGTGCAGCACTCACATTCTTTAGGTTGTTTTTAGGGTATTTTTTGTGAAGGGGGAAGGCAGAATGCATATCCTTGTTTTGGTCTTGGTCATAGTTATTCAAGAAGAGTAACAGTATTGCATCTTAATATATGACAACTGAGCACATCTACTTGGATAACATTCAAGATGGCCACTCACAGAAATACAAGTATTCTTACAAGAGGACAATTTTCCATTCCATTCACCTATAAATGAGGGCAGAGATGTCCCAATGCAAGCTTCATTCTTCTGTACTTGCACACCAACATTAGATGCAAATACATAAGTTGTGGGATTTGCCTCATGAGCCATGTTTTGTCACTTGCTTCTTGCTTGCTCTCCCTCCCTAGTTTTCATTCAGCAAAATTAAGTCATTAATCCATTTTGAAACTCATTTCTCTAATTAAATGCAAGATGCCTTGCATCTTTGAATAATTAAGTCTCACTGTGTCACATTTAGCAACACAACACAACTGCAGATCTGGTTCCACAAATAAGGCCAGATAATGGACAGGAACAGAAGGTGATCAAACACACTAGACAGATTTTATATCTTTATGACTTCACTCCTGTTTGCACAAATGTCACTCCTTGGTCAGAGATGGGCCGGTGAAAGTTCAGATTTTCCTCCAGTTGTTGCCACTTCGATCAAACTTCCAGAATCTGGCCGGTTTTTACCGATGATCCAGTCATAAAAGGTTCTGGCAGAACAGATGGAAACAACTGCATGGGTTAATTTCATTGGAAAGTTTCACATTCCAAATCTCATTGAGCTTCCATAGTTATTCCATAACATCACTATTAATAAAGTTCTGAGATAACAAGCTGAAAAGCAATTTGAATCCCCCATTCAGAGGACCTTGTAAAATATTGCAGTGCAGAAGTTTCCATTTTAATGGGCTGGAGATGCATCTCTTTATTTTCCTGGAAAGACAAACCTCCTAAATCCAAAGATTTGTTAAGATGTAACATTATTTTTATCATGCACAACAACATCCTCAGCTTCATCAGGGCTACTAATAAAAGAAGCTAAACCACCTCCTAATACAAGGAGATAAACCATCATTATTCCCAATCTACAATTTAAAAGAGGCACTATGAAGTTGAAGTTGGTACAAGACATCTCAGCTAAAGGAGATCCCTCTTCTGTAGTTCAGATTATCCTGCTTGGACAAGGCAAAAAGTATAAATAAATAGATCAGATACATAAAGGAACAGGAAGGAACTGATGCAAGACACTCTTCTTTCCAATAAAAGAAATTAATCTATGTAAAGTATCTGTCTGCTCATCAGTCCATCCATCTGTCTGTTTATCCATCCATACTCCATAGTATAAGATTTTGAGAACATGTCAATCAATCAGAATAGAGCTGGAAGGGACCTTGAAGGCCTTCTAGTCCAGCCCCCTGCTCAAGCAGGAGACCCTATACCATTTCAGACAAGTGACTGTCCAGTCTCTTCTTAAAAACCTCCAGTGATGAAGCACCTACAACTTCTGACGGCAAGCTGTTCTACTGGTTAATTGTCCTCATTGTTAGGAAGTTTCTTCTTAGTTCCAGGTTGCTTCTCTCCTTGATTAATTTCCATCCATTGTTTCTTGTCTTGCCTACAAGTGCTTTGCTAAATAAGCTGACCCCTTCGTCTTTGTGGCAATCTCTCAAATACTGGAATACTGCTATCATGTCACCCCTAGTCCTTCTTTTCTCTAGACTAGCGAAACCCAAATCCTGCAACCGTTCTTCATATGTTTTAGTCTCCATGCCTTTAATCATCTTAGTTACTCTTCTTTGCACTTTTTCCAACATCTTTTTTGTAATGTAGTGACCAAAACTGGATGCAGTATTCCAGGTGTGGTCTTACTAAGGCTTTATAAAGCGGTAATAATACTTCACGTGATTTTGATTTTATGCCTCTGTTTATACAACTAAGGATTGTATTAGCTTTTTTGGCGGCTGCTGCACACTGCTGGCTCATATTTACATGATAGACCAATAGGACTCCAAGGTTCCTCTCACAATTACTGTTTTTGAGCCAGATTTCACTTAATCTGTACTTCTACCTTTGGTTTTTCCTGCCTAAGGTCTATTTATTTAATTCTTTATTTTCCTGGAAAGATAAACCTCCTAAATCCAAAGATTTGTTAAGATATAACATTATTGATTTTTAATCAAACATTAAAAAACCACATGAGGAAGGGAGCTGAGCAACATCTGAGGCATACTTGAATCACAGGTGAAAGGAAAAAATATCTTAATAATTCTTTCTGTATAAATCAAACATATTTGATAGTCAATTAAAATAAAGGCCAGTGTCTGCTGAGAAATATTTAGTAAAAGAAGGAACTGTGACCTTTGCAGTAGATGGTGAAAGATTGTAGTTGGCACACATTTCTCCACAGGAACAGAGTGCAGAACCAGATAGCATAAAAATTAAGGAACTGAGCCTTGTTCATGGGTACAATGACACATGTAGAACGGTAGTGAGGAAAGTAGTGGTTAGAGCAAGGACAAGGAAGAACAGGAAACTGGCAGCCAGGGCAACGGAATAAGAATAAGGAACTAAAGCAGTGGTCAGTTCCAGGAATAGGGAGCTGACCTGGAGGTCAGTCCCGAGAAAGGGAAGTAGCAAAGGAAGCGTTTCAGAAAATCATATGATGATGGGTTTAACAAGAGGGAAATAGGATGGCTATTGGGTGGTACCAGAATGTCAAGGGGTGGGCACAGTGCTAAGGTATAAAGCCTGCCTCAAAGATCTGGGTGTTGCCATCTGGCCCAGCCATCATACTTAATGACTGCTGTCCATTTGGTCCTTATTGCAATAAGTTGTTGAAATGTAAGTACTGAATTGTGTGTCAAATTTAAATAAACCTCTGGATCCTAAAGTGAGAATTTTGTTATGTATTGTCTCTTGTTTTTCTTTAACAAGGGCTTGTGCATAAAAACCTTGCTCTTTATATTTTTAAAAAAGAGGCAGGTCTTCTCAATGCCCCTGCTGTCAAGTCCAATCCCTCTGGAGCTGAACAATTGATTTCACAGCCTCCCCCTGGAAGAAAGCATGTAGACACCTCGAAAAGAGGCATCAAGTACTCCTGTGAAAGGAGGAAAAGTAGCTCAGACTTTCCTAGGGGAAAAAAAGGTAGGTGTTGGTGATAGGAGATTCAATTCTCAGCGGCCAAAACCAGCTATCTGTAGATCAGACATTCAATCTTTGGAGATATGTTGTCTCCCTGAAGCAAAAATCAAAAATGTGGCTGAGAACCTTTCTAAAATAATCAAACCCATAGATTTCTAGCCCTTTCTTCTCCTTCACACAGGGATAAACGACAAGACAATAAATTGGAAAACAATATCAAGAAATTATGAGCAGCTAGGCAAGAAAGTTAAGGAGTTAGGAAAAAAAGTGATGTTTTCATCTGTACTTCCAATGAAAGGCCAATATCCAATGAGGGAACAATTTTTTTTAGAAATGAACCACTGGCTTAACAATTTAAGAGTTGTCACCAAGAGAACTTCGGATTCCTAGACCATGGTCTGCATTATCTACATGAAAGGCTTCTGGCAAGGGAAGGGCTGCACCTTACAAGACTCAGGAAGAATGAATTCGGAAAATGACTGGTTCAATTTATCAGAAAGGCTTTAAACTAAAATTGAGGGGGGAGGGTGACCAATCCTTAGGATCTTTAGGACCTAATCCCAACCATAAACCCCAAGACAACCAATTAAACAATGAGATAGGGAATGATGGGAAGGAAGAAAAACTCAGAAATAAAATAGGAAATATAGGAAGTAAACCCAGGATCAGCCATACAGGCCTCAAATGCTTACACACAAAAACTCAACGTTTGGGAAACAAACAAGGTGAACGTGAAGTCCTAGTACACAAGGGCAAGTACAGGTAATCCCCGAATTACGAGCGTTCATTTAGCACCTGTAGCGCTACCTCCTCAGAGGCCGCCAATGC